CAAAGATTAGCTCAGGATAGGGGAAAGAGTGGAGGTGTATGTGCAATCATTCTTGGGTCCTAAGACCTAAAATTAAGAAAAAATACCTTAAGAAATTAATTGTGCTAGAAACAAGAAAATGTAATTTAAATTTTTACTGTTATTAAATATTATAATTATAAAACTTTAAATTAAAAGTTATACCTACTTCCAATTTCCACATTTTATGAGCAACAAAATTACGCTATGATTTCAGTATTCAAGTATCCAGTTAAATGATGCACATAGGTATAAATGATGTGTCTGTCGTGATCGGTAATTAATTGAGTGTAATTTTTGTTGCATGTGGGAAAAGTGAGCTATGAAGTCAATATTTTATTTGTATATAAATGTTAGATGTGTGCTAACGTACATTAATAGCACTTCAGGATGTTGCTGAAGCTAAAAATGAAATATGGTTAATAAGAGATGCTTATACCTATAGGATCAGATCTGGTTTTGTATTATATAAGTAAAATTGAAGTGTCAGTCATCATCATAAGGTCGTCAGTCCTAAGACTGGTTGGACACGTACCTCCACTCTTTCCTATCCTGAGCTAATCTTCGCATTTCTAAAACAATCTATATCCTTAACTCTTTGCGAACAGTAATCTAATCTACGTCTACCTCTAACTTCCGTTTCTGCCTCTAATATGTCTCTGACTAGACCTTCATGCCTGAGAAGATGTCCTACTAATCTATCTCGCCTATTTCTGATTGATTTCCATAGAGTTCTCTGTTCTTCTATTCTTTCTAACACCTCTTCATTTCTAACCTTCTCTTTCCACGGTATCCTCATCATTCGCCTGTAACACCACATTTCGAACGCTTCTAACCTTTTTGTTTCCGCTGCGCCCACTGTCCATGTTTCGCACCCGTACAATGCCGCGCTCAAAACACACTAAGCTACGAGAGATGACAATGACAATGCTTTGTCATCTCTCGTAGCTTAGTGGTCAAAGCATTGGCGCGTAAAGCCAAAGAGCCCGGGTTCGATTCCCGGCGGGGGTGTGACAACAGCAACAAATTTTTCCTCATTAATTTGAGGAACTGTATAGTGGGTAAAAATTCAGAAATAAATTTTCAGAATAATATTGCATAATAATTTGTTATCATCAAAAGGTCATGAGACTGCTTTAACACTCAAATCTACTTCAACCACCTAAATACATCTCTAAGTAATTGCGAATACTAATCTAATTTATATCTACCTCAGCCCCTTTCTGCTTCTAACAAGTGATCTTACTAGCCCTTGATGCCCGAGGAGGTGTCCTACCAACCTATCTCACCTTAGATTTATTATTGATTTCCATAGCACTCTCTGTTCTCCTACTCTCTCTAACATCGTTTCTAATCTTTGCTATCGACGATATTTTTAACTTTCTTCTATAGCAAAAAATAATTTAGAAACAATACAATAAACAGAAAAACAATATAGCGAAAAATGATTTGTTTTGATTTGATTCTGTTCGAAAATTATTTTTCCACCAAGAGGAAAATTTCACGAGGAAATACGATAACTATTACAAGGACAATCGGGGAAAAACATCTGCCGTACGTATAAGAATAACTCATTGCGTAACCAATGTTTCATATTTCATTTACAATTACTTAATTATATGACTGAAATTTATACAAACAATTAAATTCCATATTGTAGAGTTAGTAAGGACTAAAAGCTGACAGGTTAAGCAATTTAAATGAAATCTTATAGATTTCCCAAAAACATTGAGTTAGCTTCCAGGTTCGATTCCGATTACTGCAGTCTATGTGGTATCTAAAATCCACAATGTACCACTCTCTAATAGTCAACCATGTAGAGCTAACTACCAATTATGGTATTACCCCTTTAGTAATTCAAAAAGCCCTAAGAATGCCTTCCACAACCGCGGTTAAATACATGACTTAAACAGATGAACTTTAAGGATGTTTTGGACGAATGTCAGAATGCTACGAGACAAATAAAAATTTGGAAGAACGTTCCTCATTCAATTCTAAAACTTCTGTAAAAATTACAAATCGATTCACTAAACCGTTAAAAAGTTATTGAAATTTTAAAAAATTGTAATTTTACACGTCATTTTATGGAGATTCGTTAACCGAACAGATTAAATTTATTTTTATTAACAGAAAAAAAGCTACCAGAAATTTCAAACTTTTATAATAAGTAACTTGAACTCTGGAGAATCACTTTAGCGTAAGGTTATTCAAATTCACTAAATGGTTATCGAGGAAAAAATGAAAAATTAGCTGAAAATCTCGTTTTTACTTGATAATATAATGATAATATTTATAATTGTCTGAAATAAATGCAATTTTAAAGTTTTAATTATTATTTAAGCATATTAAAAAGTTTTACGCTCATTATTAATAAAGATTGAAACTAAATATTTTTTTGTTTCGAAGTTGAAATCAGGGCATATTCACTGCCAAAAGTCAGTTAAAAATTTTCCATAATATTCGTTATTTCTTATTTTATTCAAAGTTTACGGTCAAATTCCAAATTTTCTCTCAAACCGTATACTTTTTTTTTAGTGTAGATAGTATTTATTTACCTCATGATATGCTGCAAAGCCTAATTAATCACGAATTTCTAATTTTATGTACTCTTGTCTCCGATTGTACCTACCAAACATCCTTAAGCCTCAATTAGCAAAAAAAGTACTTGTATTTGTGACTTTTTGTTCTTATGTAGGTGCAGTGTGACAATTGGGAGCTACACAAAGAATTTGCAAGATAATAAATGAATGAAATTTAGACAATGATA